CAAGGCTTTCATTTGGCAGATGAGGAAATTGAGGCCAAGAGTGGTTGGGCAAGAAAATGCACTTGCAATATTTCATACAACCATTCACCTGACATTCACAGGCTTTTCAACCCGAGGCTCAGTTGCTGCATCTAGGTCTTTCCATTAAAAAAAAAAAATCATAATGAACAGATTTGCTGAGATGACTGAGGGTCTAGGTAGAGCAGTATAAAAAATTATCTAGCACAGATAGGAGCTGGGCCCAGGAGGGGAGACGTCTGTCTCTCTACCACAGATAAAATGTGGTGGACAAAAGCAGATTATAATTGAGAGCATGTTAACAAGGGCAGCCAATTAAGCTAATTCTTGCTTTAGACACTCTCTGTCTGCCAGTGGAGTTTATCATATCATTTGTATGATTAAACCAAAATCAATGTCCTGGGCGGTTGCTGTGAATGTAGATATTTTTCAAATGGAAATGATAGCTCTTTACATGCGAGTAGGAAATGAATAAGCAGGGAAGACTGGTTCCTTCCGACAAGGACAATGCAGGTTACTATGGCCCTTTGGGAGCCAGTGAAATTTCTAGATGAGTAAAACGAGTTCTAATGTACCAGTTAAATATTTTTTAAAAATTGTTTAGTATTTATTTTTGAGAGAGAGACACAGAGTGTGAGCAGGGGAGGGCCGAGAGAGAGGGAGACACAGAATCCAAAGCAGGCTCCAGGCTCTGAGCTGTCAGCAGAGTCAGACAGAGGGCTCGAACTTATGAACCACGAGATCATGACCTGAGGCGAAGTTGGATGCTTAACCAACTGAGCCACCCAGGTGCCCCTGTACCAGTTCAATGTTAAAAACAAGTTTTAAAAAATGCTTGTAGCATAGTTAATAGAACAGTCTGATCAAGAACGCAGAGGCTCCCAGGAGATGTCCCGCGTCCCAAAGATGGCGCCAACATCACACCATCGCCCCTCCAACATCAGCATGGTACATTCTCCTTGCTCCCACACAGATGGTTCATATTTCTCTTCTCACTCTATATACAAATGTTTGCCTGGCTCCAGACTTTTCTAACTTCTCATTTTCCCAGTAAGAATCTAGTGCAAGATAAGTCATCAGAAGTATAGAGGAAGTTGGTTCTCACTGTCCATCCGCTTGGCAAGCTGCTTGGGGTAGTTGGGCTTCTCCAAGGCAGGGGTGTGACCTTCCAGACATGCTCTGGGGAGCCTGAGGCTTCCATCCTTCACCAGCTTGGGCGGGAAGAGGGGCACAGCTGGAGCTCAGCCCTGAGCCTCTGCCTCCAGCTGCACACCCTCACTGGTGGGGACCGACTGTCCTCCTGACTAGGTTTACATTCTCACTCTCTCCAAAGGCCACCCTAAATTTTTCAGTAATACTGATTTTACAAATGCAAGCATTCAAATATAATCTGAAGAAACAAAGGAGGCTTGAATGCTTTTGAGGGAGCATGTTAGGAGGTCTCTAGGCTAACCTTGATGCCAGTCACTTACCTAAGTATCAACATATGTTCAGTACCTGCCCTGTACCCAGCACTGTGCATAGAAGCCTGTGGATAGGAGGGTTCCCTGCTTCCTAAGAGTTTGAAATCTAGTGGTGAAGACAGACAAGCATGCACTTCTAGCATATGATAATTGCAGTTATAAAGAATAAAAGACATTATAGGGACACAGAGGAAAGACCTTTTGCCTGTTCTGGGTGAGGGAGCACATCAGAAGGAGCTAGAACTGCCCCCAGAATGAGAGAATGGCTAAGAGTTTGGTAGGCAGAGGGAGTGAGTGTGGGCAGAGCAGGTTGCGGAGGGCATTCCCCATGAGGACTCAGCACACGCTAACCTGCTGTGGCAAGATGTGCTAGGAAAACACGTGAGTTCTCTGCCCCCTCCCCCTCCCCAGCTGGCTCCTTCCTACTCATCCACAGATTTGAGTTTAGAAAACAATTCCTCTGAGACTCCTTCTCTGACCATCCCCTCCCCACCTGTCGAGAGTTTTGTTAAAAACTGAGATATAGCGGGGCACCTGGGTGGCTTAGTTAGTTAAGCATCATACTCTTGGTTTTGGTTCAGGTCACGATCCCATGGTTCTTGAGACTGAGCCCCACGTTGGGCTCTGTGCTATCAGCATGGAGCCTACTTGGGATTCTCTCTCTCTCTCTCTCTCTCTCTCTCTCTGCCCTTCCTCCACTCGGGTTCTCTCTCAAAATAAATAAACATTAAACAAATGAGATATATGTGACATTAAAACTGTATTAGTTTCAGGTATACAACATAATGATTTCATATGCATATATGTTGCAACATGGTGGTCATAGTAAGTCTGGTTAATATCCATATTATTCAGTTTCAAATTTTTTCCGTGTGATGAGAACTTTTAAGACTACTTTGTTAGTAACTTTTGAATACACAATACAGTGTTGCTAATTACAGTTGCCCCACTGTGCATTACATCCCAAGAATTATAACACAGAGTTTATTCATTTTGATCCCTTCACCATTTTGCCCATAGCCACTCCTGCCTCTGTGCTTTCCATTGTTGTAAGCTGCAAGAAACTGTGTGTCTTATCCACATTGTTAGCCCTAGTGCTGAGCACACTGGCATATGGAACATGGTGTGCAGTAATCTCTCAAGAAATATCTGTTACATGATTAAACCAAAATTTCTATAGAAACTGCATCATATCTGTTTTCCAATAGAAGCAGGAAAAATTTCTGCAATGTGCTCAAGAAGTTAGTGCCTTAATGCAAACTACACTAGCAAGCATTTGTAATTTCCACTACATGAGATCTAGTTGGAAAAACAGGAGCAAGCCCTGTCTCAGTCATTAAGGAGATCCATAACCTTAAAGGCACCTCCCTTCTCTATAACCCATTCTCCTCTCTGCCAAATGAAAGGTTTCAGAATTGTGTTGAAAGCTTGTTCCCATCCTCACTCAAGACTCTCTTCATTTGTTTACTGAAATCCAAGGCAAAACCTACATCCAGAATTTTTAATGCAACTGAAATCATGTTTCATCACTAACACTTTAGGATCTTCTCTTTTGAAAACCCTCCCCCCCTAAAAAAACAGAAGCTTTCTTTTTGCCTTTCAAATAGAAGCTTCCTATTGAGGCCAATTCTCTAAGAGAACTCAGGACTCATTCTCAGAGAGTTACCTGGTATGGCTGAGGGTGTAGAGAGCACAGAAGTGGTAGCGATTACTTGACTGAGAGCAGAGAGACATTTGTGACCATGCCATTCTTTTCCCTGGGGCCTTGGGCATCACAATAGTATAGTACTGAGGGTAGTACAGAGAGTGCAGCCTACTGGCAAACTCTAGACCCAAGGCATATTCAATTCACACAACTCCACTATCACCCAAGGAGTTCAGTTATATTTGACACAAAACAAACGAAACCAGAACACCACTAAATACCTGCAAATGTCTCCCACTTATTGGGAAAAGTGCCATTGCATGTGCGAAAGCTAGAGACATGACCTCTTTAGCTTAGAGCCTATTGATGTTAGTGGTAGATATTTGATATTAGGACTAGATTTGACAGATGGAGACTATTTGTTGAATGGGAAGCATTTGTCTTCTTGGTGAAATTAAGGCACCTGCTGTATTCAGGATTTTGAAGTTCTTATATACACACAGGGTGCCTCTGGAACATGAGATGAAGGTTAGGCTACGTCACCATCAGGACTTGAGACTAACAAGAATGGGTGTTTCCCATCTTCCCTCCCAAAATTACACACCAAACACTAATCTTGATGTGTTGCTAATGAAGCTAGAGCATTTTCTAAATATTAGCCAGTGACTTAGAGTACCTCCCCAAAAGGAAGGTCTTCCCTCAGAAGGGCTTATTTTAGGAAAGATAAACTGTAATGTTGGACACTGAAACATATCTGCTATTAGAGACTAATGCCACAGTGGAGGTTTTAATGACTGGCCAAGAATATTGGAGAGAGATAGAGGAATTGTCAGAAGCTGTTTGTGTGCCACCAGTGCTGTGGAGAGCAGAGGACACTTCCCCTTCTGGTCAGTCTTCCCCTTGGTGAAAATGGGGACACTAACCACCTGTAACTTGAACATCTAATTTCTTTATTCAATTCTATACCCACTGGGCAACATTCTGATATTGATCCAGCTTTTCAAATTAATTTCCATATTGGAAAGAGAACATGCTAACCTGCCAACAAGAACTTTCAAGAACCTCTGAAGGAGATCTAGTTCTCAATGATGAAAACTGACGATTTGTAGTTTTGGTCTGTTACACAACATCTCGGAAGTGGGGCATGAAGGAACCAGGCCCCCACGAGCAGAGAGATTATCCCTGCGTGAGCTGACGGAAGTTTCTGAATCTGGTGGTGATGGCACCAGGAAGCAGGCCTTCTGGGAAGCCGGCCTTGACACACTTCCTCATTGCAACACCAAGCTCCCAGCAGCCATGGGATGAATGGGCCCTTGGCAGGATGTACATTCCAATGTGTTTTCTCTGAGAGGAAGTAGATTTTCCAGAAGATTATCCAAGGGGATGGATGAGAAAGAACCGAACTCCTTATGCATAGGAAAGATGATACCATGATGCTCTCTGTGGGTTATAGGTTTCATCATCTGTAATAAGAGGACCGAGCCACAGCAATCACCATGAAACTCTGTAGATATTTATGCCGGTCCTGCCATGTACAAGGTAGGGTGAGGGATATAGAGCAGAAATCAGGCACAAGTGTATTTCTGGAAACTTTCAGTCTAAGAAAGGAGAGAAGATACTTTGTAGAAAAGAAAGTAGAAACTGGTATGTGCTACAGAAGATATCACTGAAATGCCATTAATAGCTCAGAGGAGGAAATATTATTTGTCAAATTTAGCAAACACTTCTATAGTACTTAGTGTATAGTGGGTAGTATTTTAAGCACTTAATATATATTAGCCCGCTTAATATTCCTAATAATTTATGAGATAGGTAGTATTATCCCTGTTTTACAGATAGGGAAACTAAGGCACAGACATATTAAGAAATCTTACCGTAGCCCTGCTGCCAGGAAGCGGCATAGCTGAGATGTATGCCGTGGAGGTCTGGTCCTGGAAACGTTGCTCTCTCCACCACCCTGGTATCTTACAACTGGCAGCTGGAGAGACCCAAGGGAGATTTCATGAAGGTGAAGATATTTACACATAGCCTTGAAGAGGGTGGGCGGCTTTTGGATATGAAGACATGGAAGGAAGCACATTCCGGACAAAGTAAACAGTGTGAAGGCAGGGAATCTAGCATGCTTGGAACTATTGTTTCCTGGTAAGACAACAATAGTCCTGCAGTCTCAGCACGAGTTCAGGTTCAGAAAGAATGACTTGCCAGAATAAAAGGCCTGAATGAAGGAAAGGGCCAAGTATGAGGGACAAACAATGGTTGAGAAGCTAGCCTTTTGCACTTCAGTTTCCACAATTCCTATTAATTCTCTCTATCCCAATCCTTGGCTGACTAATTGAATTGAAAAGAAGGCCCAGGTTTGATAGAAGCAAACCTACATTGGGGCCATTGTAAGTAATGCAGCCCAAATCATATCCTGTCAAGGCATGGACCAGACGCAAGGTTAACCATTGCCCCAGAACTTCAAGGTTGATATTTCCTGATCTACAGGGAGGGGCAAACAGACCACATTTATTTTTATAGTGGGAACAAAGAAGGTGGCAATTCTGGGAGGCCAAGGATAATGCTCTCCTTCTTTAGAAAAGACCAACCCTATTTCAAAAGTAAGATCTCTTCTCCTGCTACAAGGGCATCTCATGAGGCTGTAAAAGCAATTAAATCATAATGGCATTACTCTTCGTGAGCAATGGGATGGCTCACCAAGCAACAGCACTCAGCACTAGGCTTGAAGAAACGGTGTGATGTTTCCTTTAACTGATTCTTGATTGCTTCATATCCATCTGCTGAATTGGGACCGTGATTAAAAACCAGAAAGCCTAGGGGTGCCTGGGTGGCTCAGTTGATTAAGCATCCGACTTCGGCTCAGGTCATGATCTCACGGTTCGTGGGTTTGAGCCCCGCATCATGTTCTGTGCTGACAGCTCAGAGCCTGGAGCCTCTTTCAGATTTTGTCTCCCTCTCTCTCTCTGCCCCTCTTCTACTTGTGCTCTGTCTCTCTCTGTCTCAAAAATAAATAAAAAACAAAAATAAAATTAAAAAAAAAAACCCAGAAAGTCTGAAGAACACGTACATTGTCCCCCCAAAGCTGAGTGAGGACAAATGAATAAGGCTGCCAAGCTTCTGGACCCTTCTCTTCAAGGGTAATGCACATAGATGCTAAACACCAGACTCTGGCTCAGGCCCACAGGCTCTGGTGAAAGGCTGGGAAGGGGGTCTGGTGGTGCCGCAAGTGGTTCACATTTGAATATAACTCAGTCTAGATGTCAGGTCCGTGGGATTGTCATCTCCATCTCAAGCGGCCTGCCTGGTGAAGAGGAGAGGTTGGGAGCTTTGGCTCTAGAAGGACTTTAGTGCAAATCCTCCCTGTATTCCATACTAGCTGTGCAACCCAGGAGAAGTTATCTAAGTTCAGTGCATCTTGGTATGCCCACAAGGAAAACAGAGATTATAACATTTTACCTAAAAGGATATTTGGGAGAATCAAACGCAGTGCTGCAAAGCCCTGAATGTGGTGCCTGATGGTGTAAATGTTCAGGAAGACTCTCCAATCCCTTGTCTCTCTTCCTTGACAGATTCACCCACATTCTTTTAACACCAGATGTTGTGAGTATGCATATCATATCCACTCCTCATATAGTTCCACAAGAAAGCAACCCACAAAAACAGAGACTCAATCCTTGTAAAGGAGAAAAGACCCGGAACTAAGTGCTAAAAATAAAACTGAAATTGGAGCCCATCAGAGGCGGTTGCCGGAACCTCTGGGAGAGAAAGGCATTAAATTTAAAGGACATCCTAAAGACAAAGGAGAAAAGTATTCAGGTCTCCTGAGCTAAAAATTCTAGTGTTACCTGTCTGCTGAAGACACTGGCCCACAGGATGTCCCCATGTGGACCCTGAACTTGCTGACCCCTTCATCAAGCACCAGCGAAGGAGATGGATGGGTTGCCTGATTCAGCAGGAGAGGACCTGGCTCTTGACAACACACATCCTAACAAACACCTAAGAAGTTGGGGCTGGTTGCAAGTGGGAAGAGGCAGTCCGAGGCAGCATCTTCTATCAGTTTCTCAAAGGACTGCTTGCACCATCCCAAACAGAACTTCTGTGCACCCTCAGAGAATGAAGCATGAGTGTGGCGGCTGGTATGCAGTAGAACCTCCCTACCAGTCACCTTGCCCCTCCCTCCCTCCTCCAACCACCTGGCCCTGTGCACCGTGAGAAAGTTCTGGAGCTGGGGCCAGGACCACAGGTCAGCATCCCAAGGCAACCAAAGCCTCCTTCTCAAAACTGGCAGAACCTTAGTGGGAGAGGGAGGTTGCTGGCCACCTCTTTGCGTTTGAGATGTTGCCCAGATGTTTGGTACCCCAGTATTCTCCTAGCATGCTGATTACAAAGTTGCCAACGTTAAGGCTGCTGTTTTCCCATGAGCTGCTGGAGCCGGGAAGGTTCTGATCAGTCACCGAGTTGTTTATTCATACCCAAGGTTAGGACTCCTGAGCTATAATTCTTTCAAGATTACATCCCGTCCTTCCTACTACCTAATGAGAAATGCTAGGAAGGCAGCATGGTTCAGGTGAAATCATGACTTCATTGTTTTTCTGGTTTAGGAAACAGTGCAAATGAAAGTAAAGACAAGCCTGGTTAGGTCTTAGGTGACACTTGGGTGACAAACACATTTCAAGGGTACAAGGGAATAAAATGTACTGAAGGGTAAGTCGAACTTAAAATTAGCTGAAGTGCATAAGCCTGGGAATGAAAACAGCAAGTATAAGACCTGAAAGAAATAATAAAATATTAGCCTCAGAAAAATGACAACTATAAAATCAACACTTTGATTTTCTACTGGCTGTGATCAATTGGTGTCAGAGGCAAGATGTCTATATTCCTGAGTTTGAGGACCAGGAAAAACTTATAGTGAATGGTTAAGTGTGTCTAAAATAACAACTTTTCTCATAGAATGAAAATAATTCGTATTTACTGTTTAAAATTTGGAAAACACAGAAAATAAAAGCACCATGGAGAAAATTAAAATCATTCTGAATTCTATAATACGGAGTTGTTAGAATTTTAGTCCTTTTCTCTCTGCTGCCTCAAGGTAGATATAGATGTATTTACCTAATTGAGGTTAAATTATGCATTAAGTTATATCGCTTGAATTTTTCAATTAATATGCCATTAATAATTTTGCACGGTGTTAAAAATTATATGTGAGTACATATTCAAGTTGAAAATAACTGCCTTTTCCAATTTAAAAAATAATGCATGCTTTTTTGGACTCAATTTAAAAATAAAAACATGTATAATAAATTAAAGTAAAAATTATGCCATAATCAATTGGCACTTGACAGTGGCATTCCAGATAGGGAGAAGGACAGTATATTCAGTTAATGATGTTAGAGCAACTAGCTATTCACCTGGGAGTTTTTAAAATTAAATCTTTATCTCACACCATCAACACAAAGAAATACCAGATATATTATTCGAGTGCTGGATACGAAAGGCAAAACCATAAAAACTATTAGAGGAACACAGAGAGAGGGACCTATTTTTCCGATCTGGCAAAAGAGAAGTTCTTAAATATATAACAAAAAATCAATAACCAGAATCTATGTTGTTAAAGATCTTATAAATCTTGGACTAAAAGACAAGCAACCCAAGAAGAAAATGAACAAAGAACAGAAACATGGATTTCTCAGAATAAAAGAAAAATGTCTGATAGTTCAAAGAGCTCTATCTTGCCAGTTATCAGAGAAATGCAAATTAAAACAATATAAAGATATATTTTCCTCCCTGTCAAACCAGCAACACATTAAAAGATCAGTAATATGATTCAAGGTTGACAAGAAAGTAGAGAAATGGCATTCATACTTAATCTTAGTGGTGGAGCAAGTTAGTGTCACCTTTGGGAAAGACAGTTCGGTAGAAACTATCAATATTTAAAATATGTACATTCTTTCATCTGGAAAATTCATTTCAAAACATTTATCCCAAGAAAACACACAGTGGTTACAAAGGCACCCAAATTTGCTATCTCATTGCAACCCTGTAGTTCGAGACAGCAAAAGGGTGGACCCAACCTAAAAGCCCATCAGCGGAGGAGTGACCCAAAAAGCCAGCCATACTAGGTAACACATGCCTATTATAGATTGTTGCATAGCATCTAAAAAAGAACAAGGAAGAATCCTATGTAGTGATGTGGAAAACGCTTCAATATACACTGTTAAATGAAAAAGCAAATCGCAGAACAGTGTATACAGACTAGTTCCCTTTTGTTTAAAAAGTACACACCAATAAAACTGTTTCTGTCCATATGTGTGTGTATGTTTGGGCAAGTCTGGAAACAGACACACAAAACTGATAAGGGTGATCTCTGGGAATAAAGGCAGGATTTAGTGAGATGGGAGGAAGACAGAATGAAAAGGAAATTTTTCTTTTTATCTGTATCATTTTTTCCATATTGTTGGGAGTTTATACCCTGAGAATGTATTCATATATCATTTTGTGTTTATGGATATGTAGCTTGGGAGGAAGGAGTTGGGGAGGAGGGAGAGACAGCATCCATCACATGGGGCCAACCACTGCCGGCCTTTGGATGAACTATCTTTCCAAACGTTTCTCTCTAACACATATACATACAGAAATAGAGATACAAAACATACAGAAGGAGAATTCATTTACTCATTTGTTCTTTCAACAAGCATTTCTGAATGTCTACAAGATTCTCAGCATAGCCGTAAACTTGAATTCCCTGATCTTATGTTAGTAAGGGCAACAGATAATAAGCAAACAAAAAGTATAATATTTTAATATTTTAAAAATATAATAATATAATTTAATATTTTAATAACATATAATATATATTCCATAAAGAAAATAAGTGAATGTTCTTACTATACATGCAACCAATGTAATCTATCCAATGATATGGGAGTCTTTCCCTAGTGCTCAATACAGATCCACAACAAAATTTGTAATGGCTGTGCATTTGTGTTATAGATGAACCATGGTTTATTTAAACAACTGGCCATTAAATGAACACTTGAGTTGTTTTTCTCCCATGAGCATCTTTGGGCACTTGTTATTATCACCTTCAGAT